GCTTTTTCTTTTTCTTGCCTACTTCCTCTGGCTAGGACGTCCAGTATTATGTTGAATAGAAATGATAAGAATAAGCACGTTTGTCTTATTCCTCACCTTAGGGAAAGCTTTCAGCTTTTCACCATTGAATATGATGTTAGCAGTGGATGTGTTACATATGGTTTTGGTTATGTTGAAGTACATTCCTTCTATATCCAGTTTGTTGAAAGTTCTTATGAAAGAATGTTAAATTTTTTCAAATGCTTTTGCTGCATCTATAAGGTAATCATATGATTTTTATCCTTCATTATGTTAATATGGTGTAACACATTTATTGATTTGTGTATGTTGAATCAACTGTACGTCTTGTAATAAATCCAACTTAGTCATTGTGTATGATTCTTTTAATGTAATGCTGAACTCAGTTTGCTAGCATTTTGTTGAGAGTGTTTGCATCTAAGTTCATCAGGGTATTGGCCTGTAATTTTCTTTTTTGTAATGTCTTTATCTAGCTTTGATATGAGGTTAATGCTGGCCTTTTAAAATGAGTTTGGAAGTGTTCCTTTCTATTTAGTTCTTTTTTTTTCTTGGAAAAGTTTGAAGGGAATTGACATTAATTAAAAAAAATACATTTGGTAGAATTTACCAGTGAAGCCATCTGTTCCTGAGCTTTTCCTTGTTGGGAGGTTTTTGATTACCAATTCAATCTCCTTACTCATTATTGGTCTGTGCAGATTTTCTCTTTTCTTATCATTCAGTCTTGGTAGGTAGTATGTTTCTAAGAATTTATCCATTTTTATAGGCTTTCCAATTTGTTGGCATAAGATGGTTCTTTCAGATTCTTATGATCCTCCATCAGTTATAATATCTCCTCTTTCATTTATTATTTCATTCATTTGAGTCCTCTATCTTTTTTCCTTAGTTCAACTAAAGGTTTGCCATTTTATAAAATCTTTGGCTTGGCATGGTGGCTCACACCCATAATGCTAGCACTTTGGAAGGCCAAGGCAGGAGGATAGCTTGAAGCCAGGAGTTCAGGGTCAGCTTGGGCAACATGATGAGACCCTGTCTCAAAAAAGGAAAAAAAAAAACAGAAACCATTTTTAAAAATAATAAAAATGTTTTCCAAAAATCAACTCTTAATTTCTTTCATCTTGTCTATTGTTTTTTAGTGCCTACATTATTTATTTTTGCTCTAATTAGCATTATTTTATTCCCTTTGTAGATGTTGCAGTTAGTTTATTCTTTTTTATTGCTCTTTGAGGTATAACATTAATTTATTCATTGGAGATCTGTTTTTCTGACTCTAAGGGTTTATAGCTACAAAATTCCCCCTTAGAACTGCTATTGTTTTATCCCATAAGTTTTTGTTTGTTGTGTTTCTATTTTCAATTGTCTTAAAATATTGTTTGATTTTCCCTTAGAATTCTTCTTTGGCCCATTGGCTGTTCAAAAGTAGTTGTTTAACTTTCATGTACTCGCAATTTTTCCAAATTCCTCCTGTTATTGATTTATAGTTTTATATCATTGTGTTCAGAAAAAATACCTAAGATGAGTTTAATCTTCTTGAATTTATTATGAGTTGTTTTGTGGCCTGCTGTATGATGTATCCCAAGAACACTTCATGTTTGCTTTAGAAAAATGTATATTTTGCTCCTGTTAGATGAAATGTTGTATATGTCTCTTGTTCATTCAATCTATAGTGTTATTCAAATCACAGTTTCCTTCTTGATTTTTTGTCTGAATTGCCTAATCATTTTGAAGAGGGCAGTATTAAAGTCCCCTGCTATGATTATATTTCTATTTACTTTTCATTTCAATTATGCCAATATTTGCTTTATAAATTAAGATTCTTGAATGTTAGATGCATAAGTATTTTAAATTTTTATATCATTTGATGAATTGTCCCCTTTATTATTATATAATTATCTTCTTTGTTTCTCATGACACTTTTTGAATAAAAAGGCTATTTTTCTGGCATAATTATAGCCACCTCTGATCTCTTTTAGGTACCAATTACATGGAGTATGTGTTTCTATCCCTTCCCGTTCAGGCTATGTGTGTCTCTAAAGCTAAATTGAGTGTCTTATACATAGCATATTTTTGTATCCTGTTTTTTATTCATTCAGCCTTCAGTGTCTTTTGATTAAATAACTTAATCCATTGACATTTAAATAGCTATTATATGTAAACAACTTACTATTGACATTTTATTCATTGTTTTCTGACTGTTTTGTAGGTGCTTTGTTACTTTCTTCCTCTCTTCCTTTGCGATTTGATGACTTTGTGGTAGTATGCTTTGATTTTTTTCCCTTTATCTTTTTTGGAATCTGCTACAGGTTTTCTTTGATGTGATTACTAACAGGTTTATATTAAATATCTTATAGCCTCTGGCTGTCTCAGCCCCTTCTGGTCTTTGGGTGTTGAGGAGCATGGGAAGGAAGCTGATGAGGGGCTAAGGGCAGCTCAGTGCTGGCCTGCAGGTGTCCCTTGGCATTAACAGCCCGGGTGCCATGAACAGCTGCAGCAGGTGCCAGAAGGCAGACAGGCTCCTGGGCAGAAGGAGGTGGGTCCCACTGAAGACCAGCCTTCAGGCTGGGGAAGGCCTGAAGCCTGGGACGGGGCTGCCGGTCCTGTGAACTGAAGGGGAAGCTCATGGTGCTTTTTCCTGGGCTCATCCATGGCTGCCCATGAACCAATGAGCACACGCTTCCTTCCCTTTGAAGACCATAAAAACCCCAGACTCAGCTGGAGCAGCAGATGTCAGGAGGACTAGTTGCAGAGAGATGCTACCCTCTCCAGGGCTTCCTTTCTGCTGAGAGCTGCAGACATCAGGATGACCTGCTTGCAGAAAGAAGCCACCCTCTCCAGGGCCTCCTCTCTGCTGAGAGCTGAACACTCATCAGGATGGCAGACATTCATTCCAGGCCTCCTCTCTGCTGAGAGCTGAACACTCATCAGGATGGCAGACATTCATTCCAGGCCTCCTCTCTGCTGACAGCTGCAGTGATGATGGATGAGCTGTCTGCAGAGAGGAGCTATCTATTCCAGGACCTCCTTTCTGCTGAGAGATGAACACTCAATGGGACAACCTGCATACAGAGAGGAGCTACCCACTGTGGGTCTCTTCTGAGCTGTTCTAACATTCAATCAAGCTCCTCTTCATCTTGCCCACCATCCACTTGTTGGCATACCTCATTCTTCCTGGACATAGAGGGCAAGAACTTGGACAAAGGTGCCACCAACCACAGAGGTTTCTGGCCAGAAAAGTGACACCCCGAAGATCTCATTACTTGATTAGTAACAAGATTAGTAATTTGAAATTAGCTGTGATGGAAGTATTTACAACACATAAATTGACAAATACTACAGTCAGGCCTTTTTTTTCTTTCTTTTTTTTTTTTTAATAACTAAGCACAACACAGGCTTAAGGTTTAAGCTGCTCCAGCAGTGTTTACCTTGGGCTCTTTCATTCACTCACTATTGGGAAAAGCAAACCATTGCCATTTTTAGCTGTTGTTCTCAAATTGGCCTGCTGTGTTTTCCACTGAATATCTACTGGTTATTTTGTTGTTCCCCTGTCTTAGGTCCATCAGATTGCATGCCATTACTTTCTCCTTTTACTCACACAGATGCCTGTGTGTTTCTGTGGCTATTGGTGGTTTGTCTCCATCTACTTGGATTTTAAGATCTGTGAGAATAATTTGTCATGATGTTTTGTTATCTAGTTGCTCTGCCTGTTTTTGTGTGGAGACTAATAGAGATTAGCAAACTATGTTCCTGCCACCACCATTTTCTCGGATTCCCTATCTATTATCTAGATTTCAGTCTTGTTAACTTTACCATATTTGCTACATCTATTTTTCAAGTATTTACAAGTAAATAGCCACAGACATTCTTTCAATTTCCTCTGAAATATTTTAGCATGTATGTCTTAAATAAAAATATATTTTTTCTCCACAAAAATCATCATACCACTACCACACCTGAAAAACTAACAATAATTTTCCAATTTCATCATCTCACACTCAGTCCATACCTAGATTCCTCTTTTGTCCTGACAATAGCTTTTAGAAGTGGGATTTTTTTCAAACCAGTTCCCTTATGTTGCAAGAATCCTTCAAGTCTCTCTTAATCAAGGATGATCTTTATGATAAACCTTTTTTCTTTTATTTTTAGATTATGATACTTTCCCTATGGAATTAAAGGGTAGTACATTTTGTTTGAGAGAGTAGTGCATTTAATGAAATCAATGTCCAGAAAAGATAAGACCATCAAAAAATTCTCCTGTCTTCCATAACTGTATTCCACCCTTCAGAGTATATGCCATTGTAATTTGTGTTAAATATTTCAAAAGTAAGCAGAGAAAATAATGTATTAATAAAATCCTTTGTACCTATCATTTAGCTTCAACAATCATTGACTAACTACCCTTCTAGTTTTCATAAATTCTTCTACACTCCATTTAAGTGATTGTAATTTAAACATTTTGGATTACATCTTTTCAAATGTCCTAGGCAGATGTCACATGATACTGATGACATTATCCTAGGGAAACACATGAGAATGTACCAAGTGGTACCTTGTGACTGTCACTAGAAATACAGTGGAGAGTAAAAACAAAGTTAAAGTTCATATATGTTACCAACATTGCAACTGTACTCAGATGTGATTGTGCCTACTAACTTTCAAAAGACATTTTGGGGACAACCATGAACATTTGCTTCTAGGCCTGAGATGAATTTTTTAAATCTTGTTAGTCTTGTTGGATGTTATAAAAAGAGTTTAGGATTTCTAAGAAAATACCTTTAAGTTGTAGATATGCATTCTGAGTGTTTGAATGTGAAATATTAGCAGCCTGGACTTACCTTATAAAGGGCTAAGTCCACTGAGGGTCCCTTCCCTCTATTTCCAGGTGACTCTAGCCTTTTCCTCACTTCTCTCTCACTCTCAGAAAATTTTAATTCTGGTTTTTGCCTTCACTGGGCAGTCCAACTCAAAGAAAATAGAAAAGTTTTTGGATACTTATCTGGTAGGGTAGATATCATGATCCTGAAGGTGTTTTCCCAGGGTGAGGCTTATCTATTGCACTCCAAATGTGCTGACCCCTGAGATTTCTCCAAATATGGGAAACTTGACTGCATAATTTGTAGTAGCAGGGAACTGTGTTCGTGCTTTCCCCTGGTCTTTAAAAAAACCCAAAAAAAGAGAAGTATTTCTGAAGATGGTGGAAAAGCTGCAGGATGGTCATGTGTCTCCTGGTGCCTGAGTCAGGGTGAGGTTTGGGGACAGAGTTCAGAGACAGCCTTTATGATTCAAACTACAGGGAATTATCCAATTTTGTTTTTATTTTACAGCTTATTTGAACTGTAAAATAAACCATATAATGGTTCAGAATTCAATTAGATGAGATAGAAAGCAAATTATTTCTCTAAAATCCTGTCTCCCATTTGCCTTTTCCACAGGCAGGTGGGTAATGACTGTGATTAGATAATTTGTGTTTTTTCCAGAGATATTTTGTATATACTCAAGTGGTAGAAAACAATATAGAGAGATTTACACTTGCTTCTTGTTGTTTTGCTATATCATGGAGATGCAGGTGCCTAGAGTCTGTAGCATAGCTGGGGCAAAGGATTTCTTCCAAGCTCCTTCTCAGTTTCAAATGCTGTGGTCAGTCAGCCAAAACCAGGTAAATAGGAACTCTGACACCCTTTCCAAGATCAGGGCTGCTGCCTGGGCAAAAATTAGGTAGAGAGACAACAGGACAGCAACCACAGGAACCACCCTAACCGTCTCAGGAAAACAAAACGCCTCAGGGTAGTAGTGTTCAAAGTTATTGGCACCGCAGAGGTCATATAATCTAGTTAGTGATTTCAAAAATCCAAAGCCTGAGCTCATAACTCTGGAGACTGTCGGTTCTGTAAGCTTGGCCCCGGGCAGATGTAGCGATGAGGGCACCTAGTTCCTCCCTTGGAGGTAACTGTGGATCTTGCCTAAAAAGTAAGCATTTTAAGGCCTCAGTATTTTTTATAGATAGAAAGTAGAATTTTTCTTATGTTTCCATGCTTTAACTTTTTTCTCCAAGTTATTGGTAGAGAGTTTCCATACTTAAAAAAATCCCATCGTAGAGACAAAATCATAAGGTCTGTATCCCACAGGCAGAACCCTGGCTTACAGAAATAGCTGGGTACTTGACACCCAGAGGTCACTGGGGGAGTTGGCAGCAGGGTACAGGAACTGTTAGGATATTTTTCCTCAAGTTTGTCTTCCCTGGCTTTGTGCTGATGATCATGGAGTCAGAGAGGCAACATGAGGAATGCTTCTCAGTCCAAATAATTGAAACTAGGAAACCTGTGAGAAAACTGAGAGAAGACTGTAGCAAAGTCCTCCAAAGGGCAGTGTGCTTTCTTTCACTGGAGGGCATGCAAGCTGCCATTTGACATGCAGGTGGCAGCATTTTTCCTTTTGTCTAATGAAGCCAATCCCATAGTCACAGATTAGTCATGTTTTTCCCAGTACCCACCAGGGGATTTTAATAGGGTGAGGCTACAGAAAGATCTCTGTTGGTTTCTAACAACACCCATAGAAAATTTCAGAAACCCCTTCTTGGTTTATAAGGCCCTGTAGGATCTCCCTTCACTCTACCTTATGTATTGCTACTCTCCTCTAGCTCACTGTATATCCTCCCTGTCCCCTGAAACAAATACTTCCCACATTCCTAGCTCAGGGAGTTTGCATTAGCTGTTCCCTCTGCCTGGAAAGGTCCCCATACCCTCCCTCCTTGGAAGCTATAGAGTTTGCTCATCTCCCTTATTTGTGGCCTAGGAAGCTCTTTCTGTACTTAAAGAAACACCTTCCACGTCTATCTCCCTATGCCTTGTGTTGTTTTATTTATTTTTTACCACACACTTACCATCTCCTAACATGATGTCAAATATTGCAATCTGTTTCTCTGTTTACTGTTTTAATTCTGTCACCCATAACAGAAGCCCACAAGATTCTGCACATGTTTTGTGACACAGCAGACACTCAAAAATGCATATTCAATGAAAGCAGGATAGACACCATGCCAGCACTCACTTCATCTCCACCTGCTTTTGAGATCTGGCTGTCTCCAACTCAATCTCTCTTTTCCTTCACAGCAGAAAATCTGGATATGAAGATTGAGAACTTGCTTAACTGAGTTATAGTAACAGTTTTTTAAATGTGAGTTTAGGCACTAAGCTAGCTGGCTTAGCTCAGAGAGAAAGTCCTGGGCTTTGATGACTCTGCATCTTCATCTGTGGAATCTGGAGGTACCTGTTACATTTTGAGAAGGAGTGAAGAGTTGAGTGCTTTGCTTACTCCATAGCTCTCTTTCTCTTCTCTGGGCCAGTGAAACAAAAAGCCAGTGAAGAGGTAAGAGAGACTTGTGCCCTCTGGGAGTCTAAACTGAAGGAAGTAGATTCATGTAAATGATGCAAGAAGAACACAATAAAGTCCCATTATATGTCTGAACCCTAAATTCCCCTGCTGTCCCTAAACTCTGGATTCCAGATACTTAGATTTTTCAATATGGCTCCCAAAGCCCACTTGGGTATGCTGCTATATATTTAACTTCAACTTCTACCTCTCACCCTCCTCCCACTTTGATGACAACAAAACAATAACAAAGCACACTCCCACCTCAAGGGCTTAAAAAAGCTTTTATTTTAGGTTCAGTGTTACATGTGCAAGTTTATTACACAGGTAAATTCATGTCAAAGGGGTTTGTTGTATGAATTATTTCATCAGCCAGGTATTAAGCCCAGAACTAAATAACTATCTTTTCTGTTCCTCTCCTTCCTCCCATCATCCACTCTCAAGTAGACTCCAATGTCTGTTGTTCCCTTCTTTGTGTTCATGAGTTCTCATTTAGCTCACACTTATAAGTGAGAACGTGTGTATTTGGTTTTCTGTTCCTGGTTAGTTTGCTAAAAATAATGTCCTCCAGCTCCATCCATGTTTCTGCAAAAGACATGATCTTGTTCTTTGCTATGGCTGCATAGTATTCCACAGTGTATATGTACCATATTTTCTTTATCCTATCTGTCATTGATGGGCATTTAGGTTGATTCCATGTTTTGCTATTGTGAATAATGCTGCAATGAACATACATTGTGTCTTTATGGTAGAATGATTTCTATTCCTCTGGGTATATGCAAAATAGTGATATTGCTGGGTCAAATGATCTGTTTTTAGCTCTTTGAGGAATAGCCATACTTCTTTCTACAATGGTTGAAATTTACACTCCCACTGATAATGTATAAGGGTTCCCTTTTCTCCACAACCTTGCCAGCATCTGTTATTTTTTGACTTTTAATTAATAGCCATTCTGACTGGTATGAGATGGTATCTTATTGTGGTTTTGATTTGCATTTCTCACATAATCAGTGATATTGAGCTTTTTTCTCCCCCATACTCTTGCCTACTTTTGGAAGTGTCTGTTCATGTTCTTTGCCCACTTTTTAATGGGGTTGTCTTTCTCTTATAAAAAAGAAAGAGCTAGATTCAGAGTGACCTTCACCAGGTGAAGAAGATGAGATAGAAGGAAGAAACTTAGGCCTCTCCTGGGTCTGTACAAGACCTTTTATGTGACATCAGAGAATCCCTTCCCCAAAATTGGAGTTATGGAGGCAGAGTAGGGTGTGGTCCCTAAGGTTTGAGAATGTCACTTTTTTTTTAATGTTTGTTTGTTTGTTTTGTTTTTTGTTCAAGTGAATGCAGAACAGCTGAGCCTAGAGGTGGTCTTGAGGAAAAATCAAGGTATCTAACAGTCATGCTCTCCCTCTTTCTGTGCTTCTGCCTTCACCATATGATGAAAGCTAAGTTCTCTGTAGTAGACAGAGAGATGTTGTTGAAACATAAATCAAGTCACATCTCTTTTACACTAAAAACCTCTCCCTACCTCCCACCTCACTCATAGTAAACGCAGATGTCCTGTCAGTGAGCTGCAACCAAGATGTTTATCTAGCTCCTCTCCATTTATTTCCTTTTTTACCACTTTTCTTGGCTGAGACTACCCAGTCATGTTGCTAGCTTCCTCACTATTCCCAGACATTGGCCAGACACATTCCAAAGCCTTTGAATTTGCCATTAACTGAAACACTTTACTACTGATAGTAATAATTTTCATAAATTTTGACATAGTTACTTGTATGGTAATTAAATTAGTATCTCCCCCAACCAGTCTGTTGATTCCCTAATAGAAAATAACACTCCCCATTTTTTTCTGTTTATAACCAACCTAAGCCCAAAGTCTGACATGTAATATAGGAATTGAATAACTATTTATGGACTAAAGGAATTGAATCAATTTCTAGCTAAATGAACAATTATTATTTTTTAAACCCTACTCTCTGAGAAACATAGCTAGAGAAAACCAAGGTAAGAAATAGAGAAAAGACATAGGGATCCAGCCAGGACAAAACCAGGTAGGAACTTAAGGGTAGCAGTATCTAGTTCAACTAACTGTCTCTTTATCCATTCAACCATGCAGTCAGCCTAGCAGCCATATATCGAACCAGTATTCCATCCCTTCCTCTCTCTGTCCATCCAATCCCTCCACTCTTCCATTCCTCCACTCTTTGCAACTAACCATTCATCCATACAACTATCTACCCACTCATCAATTCATCTAATCAACAATTAACCCAACCATCTAACCATTCATTCATCCATGCATTCATTTCATCATCCATCCTTTGTCTACCCACTATCAATACAGTCATCTATACAACTCTTTATCTGTCCATTTATTCATCCAAAAATTCATGCCATCATCCATCCAACCATTTATTTATTCATCCATACATCCTTTGACTCATTCATTTCTTCATCTATCCAGCTGTATGATCACCCATCCATTCATTCAAGCATGTGTTTATCATCTCTCCGTGTAGTCATCCAACTGTTTACTCATCCAACTATACATCCATAATTACATCCAACATCCCTTTACCATTGATGAGAGGAAAAAGAATCATCCAAAGATAGAGACAAAAAAACATGAGCACCCTAGACTTTTCTTAGAAGACCACCTTTGTTTTGTATTTGTGTGTGTGTGTGTAAAAGAATAATCATAGAACAAATTGCTCCTTTCTGATAGACACTTAAAGAGTTCCTTTTTTTTGCCAGCTTGTGGAAGACAGGAACAGCAGCAGGTA